GCCACCTCTCTTCTCATGAGCCAGTAACACGGACATTATGTCTTCCTGGCTCTTTGCGCCGGAGCTAACCTTATCATTGCTGGCTGTTTCTAAGCCAGTCACTAAATCAGCCATTGATGTGGCATTCTGAAATAAAACAAATTACAAAATGTAAACATAAGATAATTCTGATATATCAACTCTGCTGTTGTATACATATTTTCAATTTGTGAAGGATAACATTGGATCTTCTCTTATAAATAACATAAAGTAGGTGAAGTAGACGGTAGCATAGCTACTGGTAGGGCCTCCCTAGCCAGATTGGTCGAGGGGGAGAGGTCAGACTAAGACAGGTACCCTGGTCCTCGAGGTTGGGGGTTGGTCGCAACGCTAACAACCTTGCACCGTAAAAAGGAAGATGTTTCAAAACCTCAATCAAAGCCTCGGACAGACGGACCTGACAGAGGACCGAATGGAATTGGAGAATTGAGGAGGCCATGGACCGAATACGGACCGGAGAGCCATAGAAGAAGAAGGTGAAGTGGACAAGCTAGAACCTCCAATACAAAATATTATCAAAATAAGTTCAGTGTTTCTCCAAGTTAAGATACAGCATAAAATCACTTGTATTTAATTACCTTAAAAATTGTAAGACTTACAGAAAAAGCATATGGGGGCATAAAATATCTTTACTTTTTCTCTATAACTCACACCAAAATTTAAATATCTAACAAAGCGTTTCCATATTGTTATGATGATATTGAGGAGAAAGATAGAATATGTGAAATACATTCACTTACAATGAGAATAACTATAATAAATGTGACATACAAACATGATACATGTTTTAAAGATCTAACATAAAGTGCAAGGAGGTTCTCAGAATTTAATGTTGCAAAACACAGTCAAGTTATGTCTTACCTAGATTTTGCCTATGTAATGGTGATCAAACATATCTGCATGCTTACCATGACACTATCTTGGTTGATAATTGTACTTTCTGTCATCCAAATTGGACGTTCCTTCCTGACAGCTGTCTGATCCTGAATACCCTCATCACCACCAATCATAACATCTACGCGTGCTTCCTCAACTGCAAAACCTTGTGCTCTGGTAGCTTCACCTGACCAATGATCACCCGGTGGTCGTAATCCAGCTGCTGGTTTCTTGTTGTCCAAGCTGAAATCATGAAACAATCTTTCATCATCATATCATTTTATTCTGTAATGGGCGTAAACTTTTCCATAACATTCATAAAAATAAAAAGTATCTTGAAAATATCAACTCCAGATAATGATGGAAATCAGGCTGCTACTAAAATTGATACTGTTACAAAATCTTACAAGTGTACAGATAAAGCAATTATGCCATATTAAATTCTTAATTAACAGCATAAAGAAAGTTAAAAAGTAAAGTAAAGTTTGTCCCACTATACGCCATGTAGGCGTTTGGGGTGAGTGGAGGTATAGCTCCTCTCTTCCTTGACCCCAGCACTAGATGGGGGTGAGTGGTCAGCATCACGCCCCGGCCGGCTTTACCCCCGGGAAAGGACCCCGGTACCCATTGTA